CAGCGACCAACAAAGGCGGCGCGCCAGACGGCGTTGTCGCTCGCGAGGCGGAACCATTTGCGGGAGACGCCGCGGCAGGCGAGAAGGGTGTGGAGAGCCTCTGTGGTGTCCGCTGCGTGGTCGGCGAGGGCAGCGAGGACAGTGGGGGCGGGGGCGTGCGGGCTGGGGATGGCGGGAGAGAGAAGTAGAACGAGGATATGGAGGGCAAGTTCCGTCGGAAGAAGGGTCAGGATGTCTGGGGGTAATAAAAATAGTTAGCATATAGCCACTTAACCAGCGCGCGGGTTAATAAGAGGAGTCGAAATACTCACCGATTCCAGTAACGGCCCTCACCGGGGGACAAAAGAAACACGCCTCGTCATCAATCAGCTCGCCCTCCTCGCCGTCGAGTGGCGGCAGTTGTGTGTAGTCGATTGGTTTTGGAACCCAGATGGAGCTGTTGCTGTAGTTGTACGAAAAGGGCGACTGTCTGCGGGGCGGCGAAGTAGACAAGACGTCCCAGAGACGGGGTAGCAAGGAGCGAAAAGGAGAGCGTTTGAAAGGCCAGTCTGCCTCCCCGTCCTCGCGTTGGACGACCTCGAATCCATACAAGCCAAAATCACTGCCCTCGGGTGATGGAGGCCGGGTGACGGTGTCTTCATGGGGTACGGCGGCGTCGTCTCCATCGATGAGGTCGAGATGCGGGGGCAAGGAGGGCATATACTCGGTTGTCAGAAACGGGGAACCCAAAACGGAGGAGAGCATGCGACTGAAACGGACGGTCGAGTTGGGCGGGGTGGTGGGTGGTCCGCGACGGCGGAGTCTGTTTGGCGGCGTCGAGGGCGTCGAGGACGACGATGGCGACGACGACGAGAAAGCGTTCATGGCGTCCAGCGACGAGAACCGTATGGTCTCGTGATCATAATCCTTCAACGTCAACTCCTTTATCCTTCTAAGTCCTTTATTTTGTGGTTGCTTAATCCTTTGTCCGTTGCCAAACGACGCGCGTTCTCCAGTCCCTCTGCGCGTGCCGCAGCGAACCACTTGACTCGTGTGCACCGCTTTGCGTCAATTATTCAAGTTGCTGGCTGCCGGGTGCAATCTGAAGACTTGCATATTCACCATCCGGGACTATGGCCTCCATGATCTTCCTCTCTGCAGCAACAAAGTGCTTTGTATGGTTATGACTTTGAGGCTCAACGTAAACTGGTTTTGCGCCGATCGTCTCATCGTAAAAGCTGGCGCCCAAATCGTTTCGGGCCCTCGAAAAAGGACCCTGGTTTATCCTATAGTAGGTCGAATACTAAGTTCGGACAAAATTTTCGATCTGGGCCACCTATGTCAGAGGAAAGTTCGGACAAAATGGGATGATGGACTGACCTCAGATCTAAAGTTCGGACATGGGTCCGCCGCGGAGCAAGGTCAGATACAAGTTCGGACAATGCTGTGTCTCCTATTTCCTTTTTTGTACCCGCGCTGCGCACTTGCCACTTGGGAGCTCCAAAGTGGTCTCTGAACAATGTGAAAAAATTAATTCCTTGATGCAGTGGCTCCTGTGGCAGCCTGTGGCTGACTTGTGAATTTTCTGAACCTTCTCAGCCTTCACACAACCCTGCCAGTGGTACAGAATTACAATATCCACCAATGGACTCAGAAATCTTGCACATCGTCGACTCAGACTGAGAACAACAGGAATATAACTGCGATTCTTTTTTGCGATTTTTGGAGGCCAAAAAACGAGTTTCGGGGAAAATTTGAGGTCAGAAGCAAAGTTCGGACAAATTTGGGACCTAAGGTAGGTTGGCGGCGGAGTTCGGACAAAATCTGGGCGCCGGCCGGTGTCAAAAGTTCGGACAAAATTTTTTGAAGGGCCCAAATCCGTATTCGACCTACTATAGGATTAACCAGGGTCCTCTCGAAAACCAACTTTGGGCCTCGAAAACCCATCTCGTGATGAGAAGGCGAGATCCTACGCTCTCTCGGTCCCTCAGACGTAAACGAACGAGTTGTTGCATTGGATACGAGATTGAACTCGGAGCACGAAAATATTAGTTAGCTACCTCGTCGAACGTTTCCCTTGACTTGATTACGAAGACTCTCCATGCAAAACAACAATACAACTACAGCTATTACAAGTGGCAAAGAAAACGAGCTTGAAACCCAGGAAGTATCTAACTTTGGCGCTGCTTCGAATTTTTAACGCATCTCACCGCTGGCAACAATGGTGCGACTAGTGGCTTCGAAGGCGGCGGCGCGCTCCGGACAACTCGACGACCGGTCTCACTGCGTGCGAATTTCGCGATGGGGGATTCGGCCTCATCCGCGCCCCCATCGTCTCCGCCGCCCACTTCGTTGATGCGCTCAAGATGGTTGTACGACCGCTTGCGCTTCTTCCCTTGCTCGCCGTATCCCTCGGGATCGTTGTCCTTTGACCACACCTCCATCTCAGGAAGCGTAGCGAGGGCATTTCGCAGTACCTCGAGAACGGTGTCGTAGGTGATGTCTTCGTCGATATAGAGCTGTCTCCAGGCGGAAGCACACGGTTTCAGCGGTTCGAAGTACGGGGCAAATTCGGCCAGAACGCTGCGATTCCAAAACAGTGGGTTACGCAGGGCAGAATCCTTCATCATCCCGATGGCCATATAGCTGTCCCCTCTGACCCAGTTCCTCAAACGGGACTTGAGGAGGTCGAAGTTTCGGCGTTCGACATTCCCGGGACCGGCGTAATGGACACATATCCAAATAAGCACATAAAGCAGAGACTCGAGGTCGTGTCTGGGTTCGTGTGCGGGTGATTGATCATCATAGCACAAGACTTCGACGGCCATAAAAGGTAGGGTACCCTAAACGGCTGGAGCATCATTGACATGTTTCGAATACAGAGAGATGCGTCACTTGCAGTTCTGTGACGGGTGGCCGTGGGTCCGCGTTCACCGTCAGGCTTAATGACAAGCGAATAGTCGAGATCGATTAAAAGGCCGCGACGAGGGCCAGATGGAGGAGGCACCGCCGCAGGCTGAGCCGCACGAGAACTGTTGAAGTGATGGGGCCCTGCGAGCGCGGCCAAGGCTGGGGAGGTCGGGGGTAAAGCGATGGTGTTCCAGGTCCTCGGGGAGGGAACGAGCATAATGTTGTTGACGCTGATATCGCGATGCAAAACATTCGCCCTAATGAAAAGCTCTCGATGGGCTATTAAATAATGAGTGAATGCAGTCGAAGATGATTAAGTCGGCGCACCGGTAACCGCGTCAATGAATATCGAGATGAGTTCCTTTCGACTTGAAAAGTGGGGCAGCGCATAGCCGACAGGAGTGAGAACCAGACGGCGATGAATCCTCTCCTCAATCGTGGAAAGCGTGTCGCGGAGCTTGGCGCCCTTCTTCCCCGGCGGCGGCGTGATGGTAGAGCGCAGGTTCGCGGTTGACTCCTCAACGCCATTGATAGAGACGACGACATCCGCGATAACCTTGGGCACGCCCTCGACCTCCTTGGCCATGTGCAACATTTTGGCTTCGGTGTGCGGACGGGAATTGTCCACCCAAGTATCCTTGATGACATAGTCCTTCCCTTCATAACGCGCCCGCCAACACACCGTCCCCTTCCCACGAATGGCTTCACTCACAAACAGCGTCTCAACGATTTTGTACCTGACGCCGTCTACATCGATGAAGCGGCCTGCCGGGGTCATAATGATGGAGGTGTCGTAACCTAGCAAGGCAGGGTCCTTAGTGAACATCAACCCCGCCATGACACGGACGAAGCTCTCGGGATCTTCGTGGAGGTCAAAGGGGAATGTAGTGACCAGCCCCACGCGGTCAAAAACGAAAAGGCGGATGTTCCCTGCGATGAAGGACAGCGAGACGACAAAACGACGGTTGTCTTGCGAGGAGAAAACGAGGGACGCGCCATTGAGCAGCTGCGTTAAGGTCTCCTTGTGAGCGTCAGGCGTGTCGCTGGATTGGCCGTAAATTGGGATATTAGGCAACAAAAATTCTACGCCGGCAACGGTGCACACTGGTAGGAGATCGGGCTTGCTGACACGACACGCGTCGGCGACGCGTTCCCCGAACGTATGGAAGAAGTCAATCAGCGCCGCTTCCACGTCGCCGTTCCTGGACGGCTTGGTGAGATCCGGGCATCCGACCCACCTGGATCCGTCGTAGAGAGGCGCGTCACCAGCCGACAACGCGGTCAAGATGTCGGATGGCGGAAGTGGCAAGAACGCGTCGGGGAAGAGGATGGGAAGCAGTCCGGGCACATCCTCGAGCTGGGAGGCATTAATCTCGTCGACGAGCACAGAATGCACGGTTTTCTTGGCCAGGCCGGGGGGCATCTCCCGGGCTATTTCGCTAGCAAGTCCATATTTGTGGGGCCCAACCTTCAAGTTGGTGGTCACGGTTGCGGCCGCTTTTCCAGAGAAATATACGCTCGACATGGTTCTGGGAAAAGATTGGGCCACTTACCAGGAGAGCGCAGTGACGGCAGGGTGGGTTCCCAGTCAGTGGCATGGGAGCTTTGAGACGCGTTACGTAAGATCAGCGCAGAACAAAGGAGCATTGCCTTTTACGGCGCGTCTTTCAAAACTATATGGTTCCACGGTGGCCTACCAGTCCGGAAGGACGCGAAAAGGTGGAAAACACCTAATGTGTTGCGTGAGCAGCGAAGGATTTATTTTGGGCCAGATTCCTGAATTTCATCCATGCTTTCGACCTGCCACGGCGAAACGGCCGGCGGCGTGTGAGCATTTCCGGAATTTCATCCTATGGTATGTCTTTGGCCATCCAATTGAAAAACCCCATTTAAAATGCTGCGAGGAAAATGTAGTTGGGAGGGAATGAAACGGACGATAACAAATTTAGGGGATAAAACCAAAAAGAATGCCTATCTGGGACGAGGCTGGCGCCGACTGGTGAAGCGCAAACTCAATCCCGCGGCGAGCAGTTGTGCTTCTTGACCTCGGACCCGCCTCGGAATCCAGAATCCGAGTTCCCGGTGGGCGGTCCAACTCTCCACAGCCCAATCGTCCCCCGGAGGGAATCGAACCCCCGACTTCCTGGCCGCTTTAAGCTGCGCACGGAAAGCACCTAAACCACTAGTCTAGGGCGACGATGCAAAGCTCGGTTAAATAATTGACATATGAGTGAGACAATCTCACATATTCCTTGGGTGAGGGCTTAGATCCAGACTTGCTTAATTATAGTCCTCTACTTTAGTCGGTGTCGCTGGATTCGCAGACTCCGCGGCGACTTCTCAGAAAGGACTCCCCGCTGAATGCATCAGTTTGACTTTTTTCCCATGTCTGCTTGAGCGGTACTACACTGGCAGAGAGAATGCAGCTGATGTGCGAATGCCGGCCGCATCTGTATATCTGACTCGGTCAACTTCTCGCTGGATATTCAAGGAACTGCAGTACAGAGGCCAGAGAGGCGGGCGGCCGAGCTCTTCTTTCACCCCATTCGGCTTGATATCGTTGATTCAGCTGAATGGAGATACGCCAGCGGGGGGCCCGTGGGGGCCGTGGGGGAGTCACAGGGACGCGTCGGTGACAGTGACTGACTGTGACCTTGCCTCTTCCCAACCCGACGCTTCCCGCGACACCTCCTCAACCTCAAACGATGGCTAAACGAAAACGGCCGAACAACACTCAGGCTCCTCCTTCACCCTCCCGTATTGAATTCATCAAGGCCCGTCTTATCGCTGCTATGGCAGATCCAAAGTTCAAGTTCACGCTTCCCTGGGTCCGCCAAACCACTTGGAAAGACATGAGTTCCCCCGATAGTGCAGTTCGTGAGGGATTCCGGGTCAAGGGCAGAATTGCTATTCGCTATGCCCTCCTGCTTGTCTTTGAAGGCCAAATTTCCAAGGACGGAGAGGCCAGCTATTCGCCGGGCTTCTATAGTGTATGTATTTTCTCCGCAGCAAGCGGTTTCAACTTTGACATCCCCTCACGCTTATTCCAAGAGCATCGAAGAATGCGTGTTATCAGAAGAAGTTCTATCCGAATTATTAGCTCAACCCCGGCACAACGGCGAACAGCGAATTGTAGGAGAAGGCGTAGGCTACGTGACCCATGGCTTCAACATATTTATTGGCGGCTTGTGGCAAGATGTTGGAGGATTGGGCAAGATCACCGCTTTTGTCGAGTCCGCTTTCGCCCCTCTCGTATCGGTAGCGATAAAAAGTTATCGCTCTTTGTAAGCCTCGCCCTTTCATCTTGTTTCAAGCCGGTCAATATGTCTCCTAGCTCCCCTCCTAAGCGAGCACGTTCCTGTGCCGGCGGCGGGGCAAACTGCTCGGGTTCGTTCACTTCCCCATTATGTCACTCCTTCTCAGCTGATAGTCACAGAACTGCGTGTCCTAGAACGCATCCGCAAACTCCAGCTCGCCAAGAAGCCCGAGAAATCGTGGAAGTCCAATCAACCCGCTGGTCTGGTTCCCAGCATCGTCGTTCCGACGCCGCCGCCCTGTGTCTCTCCAACTACGGATCTCTCTTTGGGCAACTCTAGTAGCCAGGAACATTTGGACGACGATATCGACGAACTGGAGTCAGACGAAGATCAAGACGAGACACCTCAAACACGTCCTGCCCTGATCTCTCTGGCCGACGCCACCGATATAGACGAATTGGATTCCGACCAAGATCAAGAAGATCAAGGCAGAACATCTATATTACGCTCTATGCCCTTATCCACCCGCAAACATCCGACCCGCAGCGCAAAATTGGACTCAGACGGTGAAGGGGACGACGAGGACTTCTCCGCCCCCGACGACCTGAAGACCGGCGCGGCACAGGACTTGGACGGCGGAGTGGACGACCAGGACCCACCCGTCCTACGATCTGTGTTCTCTCTTGCTACGGAAGATGGAGTTTCCCCTCGAAGCGGCGGCGAATATGATAATGCGGCCTTACTTGACCCGTTTTCCTTTACCGTATGTCGAAAACTCTGGCATGCTTCCATGGCTGACTATCACCGTAGTCGAGAACCTTCAAGACCACGGCGCCCGCCGATAGGCACAGTCCTCCCCGGACCGCAACCTCGCCGCGCATGCCGTTGAGCCCGCGTAATCTGAACACTGGTACGCGGAACTAGTCGAGTATTAGACCTGTCTCTCTCAACGCCATCTCAGACTCTATTTCAAATCCTGTCGTTGTCCCCTCTTTGTACACTATGAGTCCGCTTGGCACCGGTTCTCCTTGACCGATCTCTTCTACGTGGTTTTTCAGCGATAAAGCTTCCTGAACCGGGCCCCGTCTATCTCTGTGGTTTCACTACCGGTTCGGCTACTTGGATGTTTCCCGAAATTCCATCAGCACTGTGTGGCTAGTCACCCTTCATTGTCCCACACTCTTCATTGTCCCACACTCGTTTTATTCCTACGTCCATTTTTTTCTTTGGGTTCCTTGCCAATTTGTGCTACATATACACTCGCAGCGTTACATCTGGCCTTTCGCCCTCCTTACCATCATTTTATTTTCCAAGTTCATTTTACTTAGATTTACACGTGTACTAGAAACATATTCGCGATGTAATTTTGCCTCTACAATTTCTTTGGTGATTTGGCAGCCAACTTGCGCCAGTAGAGCGTAGATTAAGTGCAGCATGAAGCTTTATTATTGTCAATCAGGTCTGATTGGTTGACCAAGTCAACCAATCAACGAAAATGTTTCATCAGACATTGGGAAGCGTTAACAGGGATTGACTATGCAACCTCATACTTGCATATAGACCAATATTAGAGCATTACTAGAGAGTAGAAATAATGGCCACCGAGAAATCGGCGAAATAAGCCTGCTGAGTTACTGGTGAAGCCCAATCCGCGGTATCACCACCAAAGAAAGTTTCACACTGTATTCCCCGTATCCTCCCCTCATCGCTGTCGCGCAAAATGATGCCAATCGCGCTAATGACACTCTCTCCACCGACAAATAGTTCCAGCTCGCCATCGGCTTGTCCCGCGGTATTCAACCTGACCCGTTCGCTGACAGTGGTCCATGCGCCCGGGGTGAAGGAGAAAGCACCGCGAGAGATGGATGCACCGTATGTAGGGTTGCATACCGAGTTTGGCATCTGGCAGATTTTTTCATTGGCGGCGTAGGTTGGGTCCGATGGATCGGGAAGGTATGTATAGATTTCTCCGGCTCCTTCCGCTCGCCACATGAGTCGGGCAGAGAAACAGGTTGGATCTCTGCGACCACCCGAGCACTCGGTCGCGTTGGTCGCGTTGTCCCCGCCATCTAAGCATGCATTAGCCTATTTCCCAGCGTAAAATAGATTTGGGCTCACAAATGCCGGGTAATTTGCCGCCCTGGTTCCAGTTGAAGCCCGTTGGGAACATGACAGAATACCCGAACGTAAGTTCTTGCGCAGTGGTCATATTTACGGACGGTGGGCCAGTCGCGTAAAACGAAAACCCTCCACGCGGCTCGTGAGTGGGATCAAACGACCCTTGTGGGTAGTTGGCCACCATAGCGGTCGTCCCATCTGGAGCGGTGGAGAAGCTGTGGTTTGTCTGTGCCATTTCCTTGAAGGGCATCAAGGTTGCATCGGAAAGCGGAAGAGCTCCGGGAGCTCCGGGGAGCGTCGTCCACTGGGAAAGTGAGCTGGGCACCGGAAAAAGGGCGCTGAGACTCGGAGGTCCACTAGCCGTGCCGTTGCCAGCAGAACTTGAGCTATTGGATGTTCCGGATGGAGCCGGGATGAGAGAAGAAGCTGCAACAGAACCCGAAACTACAATGCCACTGCTCGCGGAAGCGGAAGGACTATGAAGGGCGGTAGCAGAAGGTTTCCCAACCGATATATCAGTACTGGTATGTGTTCCTGCGGACGGAATCGAGGCGATAGAAGCAGTGGGTGCGATGGAAGCCCCGCTCCCTGATGCTTTATCTTCAGGAGTGGGTCGAGCCAATACAGATGCTGAAAGCATTAGAAGGAGGACAACCGAGTTCGCGTTGCGGGAATAAGGAAAAGGCATTTCGTAAAATTTTCGAGGAGGTTCGAGTACGCGCAGCGTAGGAAAGTTTGTGTGTGGGCACCAGGCAAAGTTTAGTGGTGGACGGGCTATCATTTTATAGTTCTTGCACAGTGCAGAAACATCCAAATGGAGGCATCAATCCCCTTGACGCAACAGCGAGATCTCACCGCAGAGTCGCTCGGGCAGCTGTCGGGAAGAGGGACTAGGGTAGACAGAAGCCAACGCTGTTGTCCTCGGATTGTCAAGGCGGCGCATCAACTCGAAGGCGGCGCGCCGAGTCAAACCATATTGAAAGGATCACCCGCCGATTGTTTGAGTCTTCTTCGACGCCTTAGTATGTTTCATGGCAGGCCGAATCCAAGCCTAGCCTGTCCAGTTGTTTTGTCGTCCAGATGGGTCTGAACGATGTAGGCTTCAAAGAACCTCCAAGGACTCGACAACAGTTGCAGGCGACTTTGACAGGATCCTCAGGCTAGGATCGCCAAGGAAGTGAAAGTCAATTGGCACTGTTGTGGTGATTGGTCGGTGATGAAGGAAGAGCGGCCGAGATCGGCGTTCGAGTAATTATGAATTGCTCTTGCGGGTGAGCTCGGCGTTGGCGTTGGGTAGTGTTGGGTCACAGAAATTGAAGGTCGAGTCCACCGTTTTGGAAGGCGAAAAATGACCCGCCCTCTCTAACTGCCACCCGTCCTACACTAGTGTCCACAAGTTCCTTCCGCCCAATAATATACCTGAAGGTAAATAAAAAATACCGTTGTGAAACACACGTACTAGTAAAGTATATATAAACTAACATGACCTGCTCCCCCAGTCTATTCGTCCATCCTCATCGCCACACCGGCACCTATCGTACCTACCATAAAAGCCACTCTCCATACATATTAGCGCGTTCACCGCGTATATACGACTCGAACGTCCTTTTCAGCACCGCCGCCCAGTCTAGATCGCGCTTGTCGTCCTCTACGCTCTCTTTTTCCGTGACGGGAGCAGCCTCCTCCGCGGCGGTGGCGGTGTCTGTCGCGACCAGGGGTGCTTGTGCGGCCGCCTCCTCCCGCAGAATACGCCTCGCTGCCATCTCGCCCGCGAGGAATTGGGGGCCCAGGTCCGGCCAGTTCCGTGCAGGGTCAAACGGCT